ACCATGTCTCATGTGGGGGAGTCAACTCAGCAGACTGAAGACATTTCTCCCAATTTCTCCCAAATTGATAGACAATTGAGTCCAGCTTTATGCACGGGGTGCTGGGGACCTCAGGGCCACATGCTTATGTGGCAGGTACGTTACTGGTTTAGTCATCTCTCGAGCCCCTGATAGGCAATATAGTCCTGATAGGCAAAAGGACATACGGTCCAAAAACAGGATAGAAAATCCCAAAATAGATGCATATAAACACGTTCAATTATTTTGTGATGAAAGAGTTAAAGTAGTTCCATGGAGGCACAATACTAAGTAATACCACACTACATGGAAGCAAGTGGATATTCCCAAGCAGAAGGTGAATCTTGACCTACACCCCACACTTTTCACCAAAACAAATTCAAAATGAATCATGGATTTAAACACAGACATAACTTATTGATTGGTTGGTCAGTTGATTGGTTGATTGGTTTTTGGTTTTGTTGTTGTTGTTTTGAGACAGTGTATCCCTGGCTGTCCTGGAACTGGCTCTATAAATCAGGCTGGACTCCTGAGTGTTGGGATTAAAAGCATGTGTCACCACCCCCACCCCCACCCCCACTGTCCTATCATTTTTTTGGATATCATATGAGAAAGCCTTTGACACTAGAAAACTTTCTTGGACTTGAAACTTAAAGTGTGATGGCTTGGTTGTCAACTGGACACACCTGGGAAGAGGGAACCCCAGCTGAGGAATTGCCTCCATCACACTGGCCTGTGGGCATGTCTGTGGGGCATTTTCTTGATTGCTAATTGATGTGAGAGGACCTAGTCCACTGCAGGCAGCACCATCCCTATGCTGTATTAGAAGCCAGCAGAGCCTGCCCTGACTTCCTTCAATGGTGGACTATAGCCTGTAAGCGGAAATAAACCTGTTCCTCCCCAGCTTAGCTCTTGGTCAGGGTGTTGGTCACAGCGACGGGAAAACAAACCACACAAAGTCTAATTTCTGACAAGGAAAAGCTGATACAGTAGACCCCACTGAAGCTAAGTATCTTTGCTCTCTGAGAGAGTCTGGTAAGGAGATGAAAAGAGAAATTACAGAGCAGGAGAAAAATGTTTGAAAATCACAATATCCAACGCAGCACTTTTTATCACTAGACATTAAAAAAGAAAAAAAAAAAGACAGCAGCTTTATTCTTAATTAGCAAAATTTGAAAATGATGCAAATGTCTTTAACTGAGTGGAAGGCTCACTCAGTCCACCACCACGGAAGACCACTCAGCAGAAAAAGCAGCTGATGGTAGCACATGGGGAAAATGGGGTGACTCAAGGAAGTTATGCTGAGTGCAGAAAGCCTGTCTCAAACTGTACACACTTCACAATCCCATTACATAATATTTGTATAACAGCATAATTACAGAGATGGAGAACAGATGAGTGGTTGCTAGGCATTAGTGCTGAGGAGGGAGAGGAAGGGCAGAGCTGTGAGGTACCATGTGGGAGTCCTGTGGCTCTGTTAGGAATCTTGATTGTGGTGATGCTGAAACCAAGCTCCATGCAGTGAGATAACACAGCATGCTGGAAACAACACAGTTGCTGGCAAACCTGGTGGCTATCCGAGCAGGAGCCGTCATGTGGCTCTGGGGTGCCTGGACTTGGCCTGATGGAAAGCCCAAGTGTTCTGGCTGCAGATGTCCACCCACTCTTCCTGCTCAAACTGTGTGGACTCCAGCTATTGGACTAGAGTACATTTCCTAGACACCCTTGCAGTGAAGCAGAGTTCAGGTTAACAGGACAGACATGAATGAACAGCTCTGTCCTCTCCATAAGCCCTTGCCTTTCTCAGGAAACTTGAAACCATGTGGAATAATCCTCCTTTTCCAAGACAAATCCCAAGATGCCAAGTGTGTGTCCGAAACAATGTATACCGCACCTATATATGCTATTTTTCCTATACATCCAACCTCTGATAAAGTTCCATTTATAAGTTAGGCACAGTACAAGCTTAACAGCACCAGCTAATAAAAAGAGGAAAAAAATGAAGTAATACACTTCAATAAAAGTCAAACGAATATAATGTTTGTTTTATGTTCTGTTTTATGTTCACCTTTCTACTTAAAGGAAGCATTTCCTGGCTTCTGTCCGGCATACGTGAATCACTGATGTCATTCCTTGGGACTGTTAATAAATACCATAATGTTGACTTGAACACAGCGCTGCCTAGCCAACTAAGTGATTGACAGGAAGGTGATGCTTACAGAATGGATATGCTAGAAAATGGTATTATTCTAACCCAGGATCAGATTAAATAGGAAGTGTGTGCTACTTAAAACAGGCCACAATTTAAAACTTAGCAGTACTTGTTTCTGTAATATTTCATTTCATAAATTTGCAGACTTGGTCAACTGACATCACCTGAAACTGTGGAAAAGAAAACCATGACTGAGGAGGGACCACTGTGTGGAAGATGGGGGAGGCCTGAGCCTATGGGTCTGAGAGGGTTCGTCCTGGGAGCACATGCTGTAAAGCCACTATTCTTGACAGTGTCCAGTACAGTAGCCCCTAACACTGTTGGGCCCACAACTCCCATACAGGCCATCAGCTTCCCCAGCCTTTATGTCCTTCCTGGGCAGATGTCCTGGGGGAGGGTCTGGATGGCAGGCTGAGGTGCCCAGACAACCCCTAGAGACATAATGAACTCCCCTGAACATCTAAGGGAGGAAAAGGATCAGAGTTTGGGGCCTTAAATTCCTTAAAATCAGATTCTGGAGGGCCCAGACAGTCTACTGGGTTCACAAGATCAGAAAATTCTTGAGGTATTACTTTTCTATCTGTGATAAAACACCATGGCCAAAGTAACCTATAGAAGGAAGGGTTTATTTGGTCTCAGGGATCCAGATCTTAGGCTCCGTGGTGGTGGAGACCACACAGCAGAGAGCTCACATCACAAGTTGCAAACAGGAGGCACAGAGAACTGGAACTCATGTGAGGCTTTGAGCGACAAGGCCTGCTCCCAGTGACAGGCCATACTTCCTCCAACAAGGCCACACCTCCTAATCCTACCCAGACAGCACCACCAACAGGGGACTCAAACATCTGATCCCACGGGGAAACATTTTCATTCAAACCACCACAAGGTCCCGCAATAAATCTGGGGGTTAGTGAATGCTCAACCATTCATTCATTCATCTCACTCATTTGGACTTTTATTCATTTCAAAAATATTGAGTAATCACTTTACGCACTGGGCACATGGAGAATGCACAGATGGTAGCTGCCCTATGTAACTCACAAGCAAGCAAGCTACAGCCAAAAGCAGGCCAGTGGTGCCTGGCACTGCAGAGAGCAGAGGAGGGTGAGGTGGCGAGGGCAGTGACTGTCCTGTACTTCTGTAGTGATGGGAGAGGGTTTCTGGGGAGGCCATGCTGGTGCCAAGTTCTGAAGAAGAATTTTCCAGACAGCACCACAGCAAAAGCCCTGTGAAATATCTATACCTTAAGAGCAGGAACCAAGGGGAGGCGTGGGGAGCTGGGGCAGAGGGAGAGACAGAAAGGGCTGTGTTTACCAGTGTGTTAAGATGGCTATAATGGGGAATTGTGGATGCCCAGAAGAGGTGCTGGGCTGAGAATTAGGGAGAACTTACTGGAGGAGGGCTTAACAATGACTGGGTCCCGGAAGACCCAGTGAAGTGGTGGGATTAGGCCACCTCTGGGTGTAAGAGGAAGCTAGATGTGACATTACACACCTGTAACGTCAGCGTTTGGGAAGAGGAGGGAAGATGATCAGGGGGTCAAGGTCATCCATCCTTAGCTACATAATCAGTTCTGGCTAGCCTGGGATACATAAGACACCGCCTCACAAAAACAAATAAAAAAAAAAACATACAAGGGGCTTGAAAAGCTTGCAAAACACCGTGAGAAGTTGGAGACTTAGGATGGAAGGGAGAAGGGAGACATCAGAACCCAGCAGAGAACCACAACAAGGCTCGGTATGTGAGATATTTACCTGCAGCTGGCCGGTGTTAAATATGTGTATGTGGGCTGGGGTGTAGGGGTGGACAGGACAGAGCTTCAGGACCTCTGTCTATCAAGCAACACTTAGAGAAAACAGGAAGCCTAATTGTCCTCTGAGTCTCCAAGGCTCCCTCCATCTCTGTGATGAGACAGCATGCTGAGAAGCGGCTGAAAGGTGACTAATCTGCTGTCCAGCTTTGGGCGAATCATTTGGTCCCCCGTGTCCCTTCCCTTTTGGAGTGGACAATTAGTCTAAACAGAAAGTTCTTCTGAAGCTTTAGTGCATGTAAAGTGTTGAACCAAAGGCCAAGTTCATGTGTTTCTGACGTCTGTAGCAGGTTCACTACGGTTAGGCTTGGTTCACAGGGTAACAGGAAGATACTGTTTTATTGGAGGAGCAATTTGGCACTGAAAAGGTTAAAACCAACCCCATTCCTGGAGATAAGGCTGGAAGGAGAAACAAACTCAGGCCCCTTAGTAAGCAAATTTATGAGATGTTGGACACTGGGTCAAAGAGTAAGGGCTCCCCAAGGCTGTAGCAGGAAACGCTCCCACGTCCACAGAAAGTGTTTGGGATAGCTAGAAAGAAAGAGAAAAAAAAAAGGGGAGGGGGCTGTGTGGTGCAGCAACAGGCTCCCACTCCCACTCTGAGGGCTGAGAGATGGGGAGGGCCAGACACCAGAAAACTCAAGCCCAGCCAGGTGGGGACAGTGTGCCAGAGAGAGGCCAAGCTCTTGGCTAGAGTAGAGTGTCGGGAGGCGAGGCGGGAGGAGGAGGAAGTCCAGAAGTGGCTGAGGGAGGGTCTGTCCAGGTGGTTGTGCAGTACTGCTTGTGCGCGTGTACCTGCGGCTGGCCTATGCACGTGCGTGGAGCTTTGGGCTGCGTGCAGCAGGCAGGTCCGCCAGCACCAGCAAGTGCCCCCTCCACCCATCCAGGATTAAGCACCGCCCAGCAGCCGGCTCCGCCCCTCCCTGGTCGCGCGGCCAAGCTGACGCCCTCACTCGACCCACCGCGCCCTGGGCGCACGGCGGGTCCCCGGTGGCCGCAGCGACCAGCGACCCGCGGATGCTCAACGCGTGCCACAAGCCGCCCCCGCACAGCGGCTGCCGGGCCGTCGGGGCACCAGGAGCACCAGGTTGCCCAAATGCGGGCGCCACTCTGCCTGCTGCTGCTCGTCGCCCACGCAGTGGACATGCTCGCCCTGTACCGGAGGAAGAAGCAAGGTACAGATGTGGCCGGGCTGGCGGTGGGCTAGGCGCTGTGAGGCAGACTCAGCGTAGCCCGGCGGGCATCTGGCTGGTGTCTGACGCCAGGACTCTTGACTCAGGGTTAGCACGGAGAGCTGTCGAGCAACCTGGACCTAGAAAGCACTACTTGGAAGGGGCTAGTGGTTGGGCTCGCTGGCCCCAGCCAGCCTCCCAGGTGTGTCCCAAAGTAACTCCACAGATAGCAAAAACCCAAAGAACTATCCTTGGGACCAGCACACCAGAAGACAGGGCTAGTAATAGCTTAGAAGCCAGCCCAAGTCTCCACAGTCAGCCAGGGGGAGTCATATCAAGAGCAGTGGTTCCAGGGCCCACTGATCCTGACTCCTGCTGTCACCTACCTACCCCCTCCCAAGAAGTGAGCTGGGTGAGCCTCTCTGGTGGCTGTGTGTGAACTGTGTGGTGAACTGTGTTCAAGTTGAAGTCTTCTGGGGATGACCTAGAAGTTTGTCCACTCTAGGAACCTTGGGATTTTCCCTTTGGGTCTCCTGGAGCCAACAGAAGACCTGAACCTGAGGCTCTTTACTGTCCCTGGGCTCTAGAAACATTGTTCTTGGGGTCCTGTGCCACGGTTCCTTGATGCCACAGCCAGAGATGTCTTTCGGAGGTGAGTTTGGAACTGCTTCTGCAGACCAAGGTTTGCAGACCCTGTGCTGGCAGGGAGGACAAGAATACCAGCAAGCCCTTTGCCTAAGCAGGACAGGTCCTGGGACTCCAGATGCCTGTCTGTGAATCAACAGCCAAAGATTGGCCACTGTCCCAAGAGTCTGCCTCACACTGTGTCCTCAGATCCCTATGATGCCCTAATGACTGTGGCTGGCTCACTCTATAGAGCAGGAACCCAAAGTTCATGCATATTGCTTTGCTGAACGGTCCAACAGGAAGGCTTGGAAGGTCTGGTTTGGTCTCTCTGCCTGAGAGCCTGGTTCCTAGAATACGGAGAATGGGAGAGTTGAGAATGGCCTTGCCTATGGGGGCTTCTAGTCCATCCGTGTGGAAAGCCTTACACAGACACTGTAGTTCTTGTAAAGGATCAGAGCCCACAGAGGGGCTGTGGGAGGGTGGGCATGGGGTGGGACTGCAGGCCATGACCTAGGGGGGCAAACGCCTAAGAGCTGGACAAAGGGCAGAGATAATAGAGATGCAGGTTGGCTTCAGGTGGGCTGCAGGGACTTGGGGGCCTATGCGTGGCCTCCACTCCGCTGTCCAGAGCACCAGCTCTAAAGCCTGCCAGAGTGAGGATGCATGTCACTCCTTTGTTTTCGTTCTGTTTGAGACAGAGTTTCTCTGTGTAGCTGTGGCTGTCCTGGAACTCACTCTGTAGACCAGGCTGGCCTTAAACTCAGAGATCTGCCTGCCTCTGCCTGCCTCTGCCTCCCGAGTGCTGGGATTAAGGTGTGTGTCAGCACTACGTGGCTGCCCAGCACTCCTTTGAGGGTTCCCCCTGAGTGACCTCAGGAAATGTACCAGGGACTTCAATTTTACCTATGTGAGATCCTTTACATTAGACCCCCAAGATACTTCTCCATTCTGAAACGATTTTTAAAGTCCTTTCCTTTCACTGACTTGTCTTTAAAATGCAAGTGATAAACTTCAGTCTCCATCTCATCAGGAGAACCGTAGCCAGGGTAAAGTGAGGTAGAGCATTAGCTGCCTATGCAGGCACCGCGTGGTGCTGGTCACTATTAACCACTTCTTGTCTTTTGTATCATTCGCTACTTAAAAAGCCCAGTGAATGCAGGGAGAGGCACTTACATTTTAGAGAGGAAAAAAGTTCAGAGAGGAGAATTGACTTGCCTAAGGCTACACAGCAGGTAAAGCTCAGCTCTGTCTGATAGGTATTGTGGGTTCCTAGGACCTGGGTTAGTCTTCCTTTCTCAGAACCTCAGTGTACCTCCCTGGAGGGGAGCCGAGTTAGATTTCTAAAATGCTTCTGAGGAAAGAACCAAGGACAGAGGGGAGGGGACAGGAAAATCATTTGTCCTTCCTGTTAGCTCACCAGCACCTCCTAAGGAAGCTGGGAGCAGAGTGCTGCTCCTTGCATTGCATTGGTCCACTTGGATGAAGAGGCTGCCTTTGAGCTTAAAATGCACACACCTGCCCAGCATCTTCAGCAAGGCTGTAACTGTGATGTGAAGGAAACAGCCTCAGCCTTCAGTTTCTCTCCTGACCCATTTGTGCTATGTGACCTTGGATGAGAGAGTTTCTCCTTTGCTTCGGCCCGTAGTCTCAGTTTCCCCATTGGCAATGAGATGGAGGCTACACCTGCCTAGAGTCCGTTCTTCAAGCGGTCACAGTTATCGTGGCCAAGTAGGTTTGGAAAATGTTGGGTTTGGCTGACTTCTTAACTGTGGGGTGTATCAGGGCCCAGGAAGAGACAATGGGGAAGAGCTGACCTTTCTCAAACCAAGACATGCCCATAAGGATTGTTTTTCACACTTGGCTTGGTGGGGGGGAGCCTGTGCATGTGATCCCCAGGTCTTATTGACATTGGCCTTCTGATCTGATTTTGGCCAGAGAAGGTGTCCTGTAGACGCCTGGCAGTGCCTCATTCACTTGCTTGCTCACTCATTCATTCATCTATTCATGTGGTGTTACAGGTTGTGTTGAAGCCTGCGGGATGCTAAGCTGAAATGTCCTAGCCAACAAGAAGGCTCAACCTTTCCCTGCATTCCTGGGCTTTCCCCTCTACACCTTGCCTTTGACCTTAGCCTCTGACCCAATGTCCAGCCATGGGGAAGGATCTGCCTGCCCCAGTCATGCCTGAGCTACGCTGTCCCCTGTGGCATCCACTTCTCATGGACCTGGGCTCCTATGGCTCCAGCGTCATTGCTTGGTTTTGATGAAACCTAATTTTTCTGTTTCTACAAAACAGAATGAAAGGAAAGGCTTGAAAGGGGTTCTTGGACCTCAAGTGTCTCTTACAAAACACTTTGATTAATTAAGTATAAATGAATTAGAACCAGATGGGGACATTTCTCTTGAAATGAGCTGGTGCGCCTGGCAGTGGGGCAGTGGAGCAAAATGAGGGAACTCTAAGTTGCATCCCTGGTTCATAGATCTAAAGCTTCCTGGAGGTGAGGCTGGGGTCCAAATCCTCTGTCCCCTCCTACCCTGGGCATAAGAACTTGGACAGAGCACGCAACCTCTCTGATATGTGGTTCCCTCAATGGTGGGAGTCACTGAAGCTGCCTCCCTGGGAGGCAGGCAAAATTCACCAACATCCCAGAGGGAGAGTACACAAAGGCCTCTTAGGGCAGAGGGGGCTCAGTAGAGGGCACCTCCTGAGCACTGGCTTCCCCGAGAACTCACATTCATTCCCCTGAGCCCATTCGACTTACCAGGAAATGGCAAGGGGTGGCATCCACTCCAGAGGCCTGACAGTGGGTGAAAGGAATGCCGTGTGTGAAGTATGGATGGCAGCTCTGGCCCTGGATGCAGATCCAGAGGAGAGGCCAACACTTGGACAGACAGCAGGGATTCACCTGGGCCTCTTGCCTGCAGGCTGGAGCCAAGGCTGGGTGCAGGACAAGGTGTGTCTCCTGAGAGCTGGCGTGGAGATGGAGCTCTGAAAGGGAAGCCGTTTCCCTTGGGGCAGAGAGAGGGGCTGCCTGACAGGTACTGAGGGATGGTGTGGTTGAGTCCTGCCCTAAAACCTGGGTCTCTTGCTGAAACAGGAGCCAGTTGAATCTAGAAAGCAGAAGCCTGCACACAAGGCCGGCAGCTGATCCTGACCCCCACACCTGGCCTGTCTCTCCTCAGCCAGTCTGAAGCCAGCCTGGGAACAAAGGGAGGTGATTTCCACTTATCCTGCCATAGAGCTGGGAAGCCATCCAGACACCCTCCCCATTCCTAGCCACCAGAGATGCAGAGACCACAGGGAGAGGGCTGGGCATGTGCCAGGGCACTGTGGAGTGGATAGACTCCTGCCATTCCTGTGGCATACCCATTTCTCAGGCAAGGGAGCCAAGGGCCAGCTGCCTGTGGAGAACTCCCAGTGTCTGGGTTGGGGCACAGAACCACAGCTTTGGAGGCACCATGGCCTGTGCATAGAGCTAGCAGGGGACTGTTGGGACTGACTGCCTAGGAGGAGCTCAGTGGGTCATCAAGCAGGTACATGAATGCAGTGAGCTGCAGGAGGAGGGAGAGCCTGCTGTTCTAGGGGCCGCACGGTGGGAAGAAGATTGAAGTCCCACTGTGGGCAGCACCAGTGTTGGGTCTTGGGTGGGAGTTGGATGCCACATTTGCTGAGCTCCCCTGGCCAGGTTCTGATGGGTCCAGAGGATGGCATGGGTGGGCACTGCGCCATCCCTAATGTCACAATATCCCAACATGTCCCTAAAGGCCATCAGGGACAATGCCATAACAGGACCCTCAGTGCTCTTCTGTTCTCCGCCTTTGATAGGCAGGCTGGATGTTGGTCCTGTCTTAGTTGAGGGCTCCAAGAAGGGACATTGATTGGGGACTCTGGAGCTCCAAGAGGAGACATTGCTGAGTGGGACTGTCATGTGTAAAAGGTTTGCTGTTCCTTATGAAGGGAATTCACACAGAGATCTGAAGCCCTTGGCAGCCAGCAGCCAATTAAGTTACAGTCAGTTTTGTTTTGTTTTTTTGTTGTTGTTGTTGTTTTTTTTTTTAAATGAAATGGCATGAAACAGAACAGAGGGAAAAGAAAAGGATGGAAGAAAGCAGAGTGGAGTTTGGGGTGTTTCTGTAGAGAACCAGAGTAAATATTCTAAGTTTTGTGGACCACACGGGATCATGCCAGAGGCCATGGTGTTCTATACTCTGCAGAAACTAGCAGAGTGCTTTTGAAGTGTTAAGTGTACTGCCACTTGCCTATGTGTAGGGCTGTGAGCACAGGTATGTGAGTGTGCATGCAAGTATGTATATGTACATGAATACGGAGTATGTGTGCCCGTGAGTGTGCATATGTGTACAGTGTGTGTGTGCGCGCA